ACGGAGACCGAGACACGGGAAGATGATACAGGCCACCTGATGCGGACCCTTTAAGCAGAATTTCCTGAGTGATTGTATCCTTCACAAAAAAACAGTTTTTGTGAAACTCAAAGAAACAATTATTTTCAGTTGTAAAGCGTTGAACAGACAATAATGGGACCGACAATTTTGGCACATATAATATATTTGACATTTTTAACGGTTTGGACTTAGATGGTAAAGATGTGTGACCGACGCGAGAAATAACTAAACCTGCGCCATTACCAACGCGCAGTACATCACCCCCGGAATAATCGTCAGACTGGGACATCATGGTATGATCAGGCGTGGCGTGAGCGGTAGCTCCGGTATCCGGGAACCACCCGGTGGACGATCCAGGAGCTGATTCTTCACTGGAAACGGCGACGTGGGCCTGCACCGGTGGCTGCCCGGAATAGCGTTGATAGCAGGTGACGGCGGTGTGTCCTTGCGCGCGGCAGATCTGGCATTTGGGCACGCCGTTCCGGCCACGGCCACGGCCATTACCACCTCGGCCGTGATTTCTGCCTCCGCCGTTCGTAGTGCCCCGGCCACCGTCGCCATGGTTGCGACGCCCTCGGCCAGTGAAGTGCGCTGCTGGTGCAGTTCCCAAGCCGCCATCTGCAGTGGCCGGAAAATCCTCCGCATGAATGAACTCTTGTGCCTGCAAGTAGTCCGATATCTGCGGGATGGTTACGGGAACTCCGGCGGCGGTGAGCGATGACGCCATGGCGCGAAATTCCGGCCTCAAACCTCTGAACACAAAGAGGTTCTGCTCATCCAAAGAAATCGGCCGTCCGGCCAACGCAAGGTTTTCCACCAGCAGCTGCGCACGGCCCAGGTATTCGGTGGCAGTGCTATTACCTTGGCGGAGAGAATGAAACTGTCCGAGCAGGCTCAGACACCAGGCATGGGTTGAGCTGCCAAGCGCGGACGTTATGGACTCCCACACCTCCTTGGACGTCGACCTCCCCACAGCAAGGTGCATCACCTCATCAGAAAGTGACGAGATGAGCAAGGACATGATCGACTGGTCCTGCTTGATCCACGCTTTGAACGCTGGGTTCGGGATTGGGGACGGCGTGGTGGTGGCAGAAGCGGAGTCGCCGGAGGTTGGTGCTGCGTCGATCGTCGGGGAGGGGCACGGTGTCTCGCCATCTACGTAGCCCAACAAATCTTGGCCACGGAGGAAGGGCACCAGTTGAGTCCTCCAAAAAAGAAAGTTTCGCATGGTGAGCTTGATGGAGACGAAGTGGTGAGCGCTTGCCAATGGATTAGAGGCGGTCGCCGGTGCGGCACCGGTGGCGGCACTCACGGTTCGCTCCGATGAATTTGAGGACATGTCGCCGGAGAGGAGGAGGATGGGAGGTTATCGGCTGTTTGAAGTGGTGGTTCGTGGTGGTAGAGGGAGGGGATCGGCTTTGTGTGGGGGGTGGTGGAAAAATTCCCAACCTGGTTAGCTGATACCAGATGAGATCAACAACAACTGCATAAACTGAACAGTAGCAAAGATAATACAATAAGAGAGTAATCTACGTTAACTAACCCTATACAATAGGCTAGCCATAAGACTCTAACTTATTGACTTATTCAGATAGTACAGGGAAATATAACATTAATAATATTATGTCTAACAGGGATCAGGTGTCTTTGGATCCGAGGTGTCGTCTACAACGGTCAGTTGTTTCTCAGTTTGCGTCGAAGCTGGAGACTTGGTCTGAGATGCCTCAGGCACATCATCAAGAGCGAGGATATATTCGAGTTCGAAGGACTCAAAGTGGATCATCATCTTGATCGCCCACCGGCGGTTGTTCAGGCCGGTGAGAGGCTCGAGCTTGGCGAGGTTAGAGGAGGGCTTGTTTGTCATTGACGACATTTTCAGGAGAATAATTTGCTTTTAACTGTTGGGTTTTATGTACCGGAAAATGTCGCAGTATCACTGCTTTTTATATTGGCTGATTTGGGAAAAGGAAGGGAATCTTGTGTCGTGTGAATACACTATCTTAAAAGTAAATTGCCGGTATAACCGGGTGCTTTCGACTGGTTGCACACAGACTTTCTACGAGATACCGGCCCAGGTATTCGCAGTCACAGTAGAACCCGACTTAGAGCTCAGACAGAAGGCTTGTAAAGAATATAAGAATATAAGAATCTATTGGTGTGTTTAGAGCTCAGGAGGAGCAGGGTATTTATAGCTATAAAATACCTGCTCCTCCTCTCTTAGCCATTCAATTTCCACTAAAAGATGGGAGTGGTGGAGATGACCACAATTGTAGGAGTTAAACCTCACTCCACAATTTATTGTGGATGGAAATAATCCACACTTATTTGGGTGTTATTCCCAACACAATAGAAAAAAATATATGATAAATTAGAGTAGAAATTACCTCCTCCATGGCATTCTGTGAAAATTTTGAACTTGTGTCGGCAATTGCTCATTTGACTGCGATAGAAAATTTAGCGTCCAAAAGCCTTTTTTCTCCTTTTTATTTTTTATTTTTTATTTTAGTGGCGGTGGCTAGGGATGGCAACGGGGCGGGGCGGGGGCGGAGAGTATACTCCCCGTCCCCATCCCCGCTACCCTGACCCCGTCCTCGTCCCCACGGGGAATTTGGCGGGGACGGGGAATCTCCATTCCCGGTCAACCTATAGTCAAAGTCTCAAATTAGTACAATTTTTAAAAATAAAATAGAAAAAAATTGAAATCCAAAGTCTTAATAGTCTTATTTTAAAAACTATAGTTTTCAACTATTAACATTCAACTATTTTTAATATCATACGAACTAACATTCAACAAAAATGCAATAGCAATACAATAAAAGCCTTCGGTTATTCATTTTCACTCCTCATAATCTTCTTCTTCAATCTGAAAGAACACAAAATAAGTTAATTAATTGTTCAAACATTTCTCACAATACATGAATAGTTATAAAGTTTAATTAATATATATACCTCCATGTTTTCAAGTTCTTCTGGACTAATCCCACAATCATCGTAAATAGGACCATGTGCATCTTTCCTAGTGGGCACTACAATAAACAATACATATGTAATATAGAATATCATAAAACAATATATAAATGTCATTTAATAAAATTTGATTACCTTGGCCTTTGGCATCTTTCAACAACCAACTTTGAGAACACATTAATCCCTCTAACGTCTTCGGGTGAAGCCTACGTCGATGATGAGTGACAACCCTACCACCAGTGCTAAAAACTGATTCTGAAGCCACAGTAGAAATGGGTACACCTAAGATATCCCTTGCAATCATTCGCAATGTTGGGTAACGAAGTCCAACACCTTGCCACCAAACTAAAACATTAAACGTAGGATCATTTCTTGTCATATTTTCTTCTTCAAAATATTTGTCCAACTCTGATTTCAAACCCCTTGCAGAATTACCTCTACCCTTATATGCATCAAATCCAGAATTAAAAAAAACTTCATCTTCAGAATTAACCCCTATTGAGATTTCAGAATCAGATTGAACATTATTGGTAGTTTGAGGAACCTTTTGATACTCTTTCACCAAATCCTTACAATATTTCATAACCCTATCCATTTGTTGTTGAGCACTGTGTTCATAGAATTTAGGGAAAAAAACTCCATCACATCCAACTTATATCTCGGATCAAGAATATTAGCCACAGCCGTTAGTCCGTGAACTACCTCCCAATATTTATCAAATTTCAACAACATACTTTTAGCCATATTTGCAATAATCTCATTAGGACATTCAATCCAACTACACAAAGCAAACTTGATTTCACACATCAATGGAAAGAAAATATTAGAAGTTGGATACTTTGTCCCTGAAAATTTATTTGATTCATTGTAAAACAACTTCAACCTTTCACAAATTTCCTTAGCAAACTCCCAATCATCATCATAAGGTGCACAAGTAAAAAGAACATCTCGTTCTTTCAAACGCATAAAAACATCCTTGTATTCTAAAACAACACTAAGCATCAAATATGTGGATTCCATCGAGTTTTACAATCAAGCACCAATTGTTTAGTACTATCTATGCCCAAGTGCCTCACATTTTCCCTAAAAGTTTCATTTCTTTTTGGTGTGGCCAACCAATAAGCAACACTATCTCTCACCCTTTCTATTCCGTCACCCATAACTTTTAATCCATCTTGAACAATTATATTCAAAATATGAGCACTGCAACGCATGTGAAATAAACTCCCATGTAACAAAAGATGTGAAGAAGCTAGTTTAGTTACAAGGATGTTAACAAGTGCATCATTTGTAGAACAATTATCGATCGTCAATGTAGACAATTTCCTTTCAATATTCCAATCATAAACACATTTCAACAATTCCTTAGAAAGAGCTAAAGCTGTGTGTGGACAAGGCACATAAATAAACCTAAAAATGTAAACGAAATAAAAGATTACATAACTAATAATATAACAAATAAAGTATCATAACTAAAAAGTGAAAATAGCTATAGACATTAAATTAGAAAACTAGAAACATACCTCATAAGCATACTCATGTGCCGTGATTGCCATGTAACCTTTCTTTTGATTTGAAGATGTCCACATATCCGTAGTTAAGGCAATCCTACTTGTATTTCTGTTGAAAAGTGTTATAATCTTGAATTTTTCAATCTCATAAATCTTTAAAATGTCGGCTTTAACGGTATTTCGAGAAGGAATGTCGAACAGTGGTTGAAGGCTAGCTGTATACCTCCTAAATCCTTCCTGATCAACAATTGCAAGAGGATATTCATGCATAATGATCATGCAAGCAAGCTCCCTCCTTGTAACCTCAGGATTAAACTTGAAAGTAGATAAACCCATTTTTCCATCCGCCTTCCACTGTTGTTGTAACAACGTTTGCTGTTTCAAGTTTTGGATGAATTTCATCTTACAAGATCTGTAATGATCATGAAGATGCTTTGTTCCATTTTTACTTTGCCCCCCAAGTAATTTTTTTGCAATAATTGCACTTTGCTTTATCCAGACCGTTAACTACCTTTTTGGTAAAATGCTCCCATACCACAGATTTTAATCTTTTTGAACCAAAACTTGGTTCACTCGGACCATTCGATTCTCCCTCAATCTCATTGTTGTTAGTAGTTAAATCGATGTGAGAGTCCACAGGTGTCTCATCCGGTATTGACGAATCATTAGGTAGTGCTGATTGAGTTAAACTCGGTGCATCCTCCCCTCCCATCTCAACATATACATCACACTCCTTTAAACAATTACAATACAAAGATATTACTGTATTAGTGTTATGAATTATATGAATAACAGTGGCATAAGAGCTAATGCACTAGGCAAATTACAAATACATTCACTTTAATAATCTAGTAGTAGGCAAATTATAGATACATTAACTTTATAACATGGAGTAGGCAAATTTCTTATAATAATCTAATTATAACATGGCTAGTTACTGTAATCAACATTCAATATAAGGATTATAATCTAATAATCTAATTAATTCAATATATACACATTCAATATTCACAGTGCATAATGACCATTAAATACACAACATGAATGATTTAATGTATACACATTCACTATAATCTAATTAATTCAATATTCATGCATACTGATCATTCAATCTAATTAATGACTGTCATAATGATCATTCAATATATACTCTTCATTTAATCATTCTTCAACTGTTAAACACTTACCTGTGGTTGTGAAGGCTGTGGTGGACGAAGATTGTTGCCACTGGGACGCTTCATCAGATTTTGACTGGCGACGAAGTACGGACAATGAGTCGAAGACTGCTGCTACCTGTCTGCGACCAACTACGGCAGTGACTGACGAAACCTAGCTGTCTGCTGTGCGTATGTGGCCGACGAAGATGAGTCGAAGACTTTCTTTTGCTAATTTTCTTACTGTATTAACGTATTATATATTACTAATAATAATATAATTCCTAATATATATATATATATATATATATATATATATATATATATATATATATATATATATATATATATATATATATATATATATATATATATCTTATTAATTGTCGGGGATAGGGCGGGGAGGGGTATCCCCGTCCCTGGCAGGGAATTTAAAAAAGTCCCCGTCCCCGTAGGGGACGGGGATCCCCGAAGGGGACGGGGCACATTGTCATCCTTAGCGGTGGCAGATGAGATCGCAGAATGCGGAACGGTGTAGCTGAATCTGTTGGCAGCAGCGGAGGTTCGGTTGGAGAGCGGTGATGGCTTCAGGCGATGAGACATGGCTGGACTAGATGGTGGTAGTGGCGGCGTCAGGCGGTTGCGGCTGTTGCTGATTGCGACTATCGCTACTAGCTGCTGATCGGCTGAAGAAGGAGCAGCGTCGACCATGGTGACGTTGATGAGGCGGTGGAGAATTTTTTTATTTATTCATTTTAGGAAAATAGTATTGTTATGGTTGGATTTGAAATCTAAATATGGTTATAAGATTAGGTCACATAAGTATAAGGATTTTGTCTCCAACTTGTATAACCCTTGAACTCTAAAAATTTTAGACTAATTGTGCCTGCACTCACGAAATAAAACCAAAAAAAAATATTAGTAACACTAATCAATATTTATTTTGAGAAAAATTACCTGAAGAATCATTTATTCCTTCGAACAACACATTTTGTTAAGTTGATGGATTGAAGACGCCAAGTGCTGCTTTTAGCAGCTCAAATCTTGATTTTTCCAACGGCTTGGTAAATCCGTCCGCAAGATTCTTTTTCGTAGAAATGTAATCGAGATGTATTGCTTTTTCTTCAACTAATTTTCGGATAAAGTGATGACGTCCTAATTTTTTATGCCACAACTCAGACTCATTTATGTTGGACTTGCAACAAAGGATATTGTTTGTTAGAATATAGCCATTGTCTATTGATCGCTTACCTTCCATAACACATTGCTTTTCATTATCCATAACGCTGCAGTTGTCTTTGGTGAAGCTGACATTCCAGTTTTGGTCGCAAAGCTGGCTGATACTTATAAGATTGGCATGAAGGCCGTTTACAAGTAACACTTTCTCTAGCTTGGGTAAGCCAATCACGTTTAGAGTACCTACTCCAGTGACTTGACCTTTAACACCATCACTAAAGGTGACTTCACCTTTGCTAGCATTCACGTTACTTAGGAATTTTGCATTTCCTGTCATGTGATGTGAACACCCGCTGTCGAAATACCACTTTTCTTTTCTTCCTGCATGTTTAGAGTAAAACGAGACAAAAGAAATATAATCACTTTTCTTAACCCAAACTTGTTTTGTGAAAGGCTTGATGTTCATGTGTTTGAATTTTTTAGCCCTTTGATCCTTGTAGAAGTAGTAACATTCGGGTCTGATATGGCCGCGCAACCTGCAATAATGACAAACGGGGTTATAGAGTTTATAAAACTGTTTATGTGACTGTACCATACAGTTGATTTATCTTGCTGAGCTGGATACAGGAATGTCCATTGGATCAGGTCTTGATGCTTTGATAAATACAGTTTTGTCTTTTGAAGCACCCCCGGTGAAACCAAGACCAAATTTTGCAGAAGACTTTCTTCCTGAATCAAGTATTTGGTCAAGTGTTGAGGCTGTGTCCATCATTTGGATTTTCCTTTTGAAGGTGCTCAGCTCCTGCTTCAGGGTCTGTACCTCCTGTTTCAGTCTCTCTTCTCGATCAGACGCATCTTTAAGAAGAAAACCCCTATCAGCTACCGTATTTTGGTACATTTTACTGGCATTGGCTAATATTCCTATCTCACTAGTCAATTGACGATTAGCTTTTAGTAGGGCTTCCCACTTGGGATACAATTTATTAAACTCTACTTCATAAGGCAAATCAGGTAAATTTAAATCTTCCGCGGATCCATATTCGCCTTCTTCTGAATCAGCTATGTCTCCAAGACTCCAAGTTCTGAACACGCTGAAACACGAGCAGTGAATGCTACAAAGTTACCGGAAATTTCTTCTACATCAGATCCAGCTGCGTCAGTCTCAGGTTCGTCGTCACTCCAGGTAATGGCCGTCATCGATTTCTTACGTCTTAGATAGGTGGGAGATTCTGCTTGGACTTGACTGAAACCTTCACACTCATAGCATTTTATCCCTTTATTGCTGAATTTTTCTTTGGATTGCCCTGGACGTGAGACAGAGGACTTGAAATTTGATGAGCCCGTCCTATGGCCAGCTTTTGATGTATTTGACATTGATCCTTTTTGTGGTTTGTTGTTGCGGGAATTCTTTGATTCCTGTTTCAAGATTTTAGAAAATTGCTTAGTTAAAAACACAACAGTATCATCACCTGGTTCATCTGAGTTAGAGGTAGCATTGTTTTCTTCAGCGGCAAAAGCTAAGGTTTTTTTTTTTTTTTTTTTTCGTGTGATCGGTAAGTATTTCCATTTCATATGTTCGAAGGTTTCCCATTAATTGAGTAACAATCTTATTTTCCCAGCCGTCATGTTCCTGAATGACAGTGACCTTCATCCTGAACCTGGGCGGTAGAGATCTCAGAATTTTCTTTACCGGTTTTGCTTGGGAAAAAGGTTCACCAAGGACCATTGCACGATTCGCTAATTCTTGCACTCGGCTATGGAAGCTAATGATGTTCTCTTCTTCACTCATTCGAAGTTCTTCAAAGTCAGACTGTACCAGTTGCAGCTTCGATTGTTTCATTGAATTCGTGCCCTCGTAGGTTGACTCGAGAGCTTCTCACGCACCTTTAGTTGAACCATAACCTGCAACTATAGCAAATTGACTTTCATGTATTAGTTGGTAAATAGTATCTAGTGCTTTATCATTATTTCCAGCATTAGTTATTTCAGTTTGGGTCCATTTAGTTTCAGGATTTGCCACTTGGGGACCGTCAGCACTCATACTAGCTTTAGTCGGATGAGTCCAACCCGTCACAACAGAACGCCAAACAACGTCTCCTTGAGCTTTTAGATGCGTTTGTGTGCGTGTTTTCCAATAAGCATAGTTGTCGCCCGTTAACTGGGGAAGAACCTTAACACGATCCATTCTGAAACACTCAACAAGCCGTGAGATTGAACAAAGTAATACAATAAATAAAAGCAATAAAAGCCTCTGAAAGCTTGAGTTCAAGAAGCACAGAATAGCCAGATTGACAGACTAATAATTTAAGTCTCCGGACTCTGATACCAATTGAAAAAGTGCCGTGAATCTTGAATGTAATATTTAACTTAAAACTTCTACTTGATTTTTAATTTCAAACAAATTTCGACCGATTAATTTTTGTTATTTAATAATAATAAATAACAGAAAATAAATACAGTAATTAAATCAAGTACATAGTAATTTGTTACATAGTTCGGAGCGCTTCTCTTACATCTGCGGGGCAACCCACGTCTGCCCAATCCACTATAGATGTTCACCGAGGAGTTTTACAATAGAACAGTACATTAGGTTCACAGCCTTCGCTACCACACTACAAACAACCTTCCTAACATCCAACCCGGACCGAGACGTGCATGCCGTGATGACCTTCGAGCGATACTTCAGCTGACTCAGGTGCAGATGTACAGCTCAACAGAATTCCTAAAATATAATAAGAATAATTTTCAGATTAATATTATAGCAGCAATTTGGATTTCTCTTCTCAATTAATATTGTGATCAAATCGGCAAGTTTCCACAATGAGCAATCTTCCCTTTTATAGAAATAATCTCTTCACCCAATTAAGCCACGTGAATAACTTCGTCAAATGCTCAAATCATTCGCTGCCACTCATTTATAAATCAAATCCTTATAATTAGTTTGAACCACAATTTGATTGCTGACTTCCTCTTCATATACACAATAATTGTGAGCCACTCAATTAAATACCATAAGATACGAAAAATGGTCCAAGAGCTTTGGCTAACTTAAATCTATTTATTATAAAAATAAATTAGCCAACACAAGGTTTTTAATGTGTACAAATTATGTACACTTACATATATGTTCATAATTTGATAATTATACAGTTTAAAAATTATGAATCTACAGTACAGAAATTATGAATCTACAGTACAAATATTATAAATATGCAATATAGAAATTATGAATCTACTGTATAGAAATTATGAATCTACTGTATTTAAATTATGAATCTACGTTTAGAAATTATGAATCTACAGTATAGATTTTATGAATCTAAATCATAGAAATTATGAATCTATAGTATAGAAATTATG